CATATTTATACATGGCCATCATGTCTCCTTTCAGCCTTCTCTTCTGCAGGCTAAACATGCCCAGCTCTTTAAACCGCTCTTCATAGGGCTTGTTCTCCAGACCCTTGATCATCTTAGTCACCCTGATTTGGACTTGACATTCCTTTTACTCACCAGCTCTTCTAAGCTAATAACAGAAATATATAGCTATCTCTTACTAGGGACATTACCTGTATTTTAATCATTAACAATGATGGAAGCCTGTTACTTCCTATCACTCTGCAATTCCCAACTCCTGCAGCATAAAAGAATTATGAAATGAGAATAAAAGCAGAAAAAACAACTTATTTCTATATACATTATTTAGCTTTTTGAAGAGAATATAATTCATTTAAAAAACGAATTGTTGCGCCAGCTCCAATGGCTGCCAGTTTGCGACCGGGCCCAATACAAAGTGCTGGCTTTGGCCTATAAAGCCCTAAACGGTTCTGGCCCAACTTGCCTGTCCGAATGTATCTCCCCTTACGAATAATCGAGGACTTTAAGATCATCTGGGGAGGCTCTGCTCTCGGTCCCGCCTTCGTCACAAGTACATTTGGCGGGGACGAGAGACAGGGCCTTCTCAGTGTTGGCCCCTCGGCTATGGAACACCTTCCCTAGAGAAATCAGATCTGCTCCCTCCCTCTTAACATTTTGGAGGCAAGTTAAAACACGGCTGTTTGAGCAAGCATTTACAAATGCAGAGTAACTAATATAGGAAATTGAATGACTTCACAATGGATCTGGACAATGCTTGATAATAAGGAGACGCCAATGATGTTTTTATTGCTCTTGTGGGGTTTTATACTGTTCAATGATTTAATCTATATTATGTTTTTATGTGTACTGATTTGTTGGAAACCGCCTTGAGTTGCTGATTGGTTGAGAAAGGCGGTATACAAATACGGTAAATAAATAAATAATGGTTTTAGCAGTCATTTCTGTCTTGTAAACAACCATTTGTGTTCTTGCTCCATAAAGAGAATTCACTTTGCCCTACTAGTGCTATTCCGATGGCAGAGCTGCGTTTGAGGCTAGGAATGCTCTATAATTGTTTCAGAAACAGACTCAGTAAGTTGCGTAAGACAAGAAGAGGCTTTCTCTCAATCCTTCTCCATTAACATGAGGACTTATTTACAGGTTTAATACTTGTGATATGGCCTAAGGACTAATCAATAAAATTTATTATTACGGGTTAATACTATAAGTACAGTAGCCCCTCCACATTTGCGGTTTTGAGTTAAAATGTTCTCTGGAGAAATGTCTTCTGATGTGACTTTCTCCAGTCATGCTGTAAGACCTAGAAAGTTCAAGAGATGTTCCTTCAGATTTTTTTTTTTTTTAAAAAAAGCAATTTCTTTATTTTCCTGCTTTTCACTTTCACTGGAGTCTTGTGCCCATAATCCCATAAAATGTGGAGCACTGACTGTACTGGCAAAGTGGAGCTGGATTGTTTTTCACACAGCCTGCTTAAAAACCAGATAGCATGTGTAGCCAAATGAGAATTACACGTGTCCAATTGAGCACTGTAATACGCAAAAATCGAGTGACCATACTGCAAGCTTGCCAATGCAATAGGCCCAGGGGCACTAGCAGCAATTCTAGATCAAAATGAACTTACATGGTTTTGTTTACATCTTGAGTAAGGGCAGAGACCCCAGTGGCACAGCAAATTAAACCGCTGAGCTGAACTTAATGACCGAAAGGTCAGCTGTTTGCAAAAGGAGTGGGGTGAGCTCCTGCTGTTAGCTCCTTCTGCCAACCCAGTGGTTCAAAAACATACAAATGTGAGTAGATCATTAGATACCACTTTGGTGGAAAGGTAATGGCACTCCATGACTTCATGCCAGCCACATGACCTTGGAGGTGTCTACAGACAACGCTGGCTCTTCAGCTTAGAAATGGAGATGAGCACCACCCCAAGTAGGACATGACTAGACTTAATGTCAAGGGGAAACCTTCACCTTTTAATGTAAGGGAGACACAATCTCCTACTTGATGAAATAGCCTTCAATTATAGCAATTAATGAACTTAACAACAACAACGAATAGAATGCAGTGCTGGTGTCTGAAATCAACGTCACTCTGAGTAGCAGTTCCCAAAGATTTGAGAATTTTCATTTGTAGATGTCCTCTGAAAAAGATGTTGGTAATCTTAAATACATGTGACATACTCTATTCAATTAATGCTTGTTCCTCTTCCTAGGAAAATAACATGCAGTCACTGACATTGCAGGAGCTAATTGGTTTTGAATTTAAACAAAATCAATCAGTTTGTTTTTTCCTTATTTAATAAATAATATCAAAAAGTGAACTAGTTCATATTTACAATATTGGAATAAAAAACAGTCTTGTCTAACTTCTGCAGTTTTTACAAGTATTAAGAGATTTCATATCCAGTTTGAATGGAGTTGCGACTACAGGTCCTCATAATTATTGTCGACTTCTTACATGGATGTGTTTTGCTCTTCTGATTACACAGATGACACACTGTTCCCTTCTAGGAAAAAAAAACCCAACCAATGTCATATATGCAGAAGGGCATCACAATTTCAACACGTTTGTGATAATTGAAACATTGTACATGTCTTTTATGAATTAGTCACATGAAAAGTAACAGGACATTAAAGTTATCTCTTAACAAACCTTAGTGAAGAGTCTTAAAAATAAAAGATTGGATGTGCTAATTACACAGTATACACGTGACAACACGCTTAACATGGTTTACGTGTCATTTTTTATTTATTCCTGCAAGCTGCTCGTACTGTTTTTTGACAAAATGCGAAATTGAGCAGACTAATTTTCCTACAAAATGATGGTGAAGACTCAACCAGTCTTCTGATCTTATTGCTACTTTACAGGTGCACAGTTTGGGAAAATAATAAAACCCTTTAAGGACTGAACAAGCATGTACAAACACAGACACACACAGAGATTCAAAGAACACATTATAACTAAAGGGCCACAGTTGATGCTCTGGCCAATAAATGCTCCATCACCACTAACCTAACCACATGCAAGCTTCCTCAGAGGTACATTTGGGGCCCAATTTGCCATGTGGTGATTGCAAGTCTAGATTGCTTAACTTAGGCTGTTACTGCACAAGGCAGTTGTCCCACGCTACACAAAAAAGAGTGTACCCACTCTTTTTGACAGCTGCATCTTGGTTGTTCATTTAATCTATCAGGAGGGAAGATTACAGAAATTGCTGTCAAGGAGAAATGGCTTCTTGTAAAAATCATAATCTCCAAGGACCAGAGATTGACTGAGGACGTGAGTGTACAAAACATGATTTTGTTCTCCTGGGCAATATGCAAGGTTGTCTCAAACACTACAATTATGTAAACCTCACTGCATTTTATGAGATATACACCCAGTAAATACACACAATTATTGTGCTCCCAGCACACTACCATTTTCTCTAGGTTTATGCTTTGGCTGTTTGTGGCAAGGCTTCACCACCAGAGGTTCAATACAATAAGAACACAATCTACAGTCAAAAACAGAACTTCATGTAGTGGGATGGATGTGGGGAACATTCACAGCGTTGGAAGAACTACTCAGTATTGCAGGTCCAATGAAGCGAGAAGCATTTCAGTCCCACGGGATTTTGAGAGAAATCCACATTGTGTTTCTAACATAAAGCTGCCACTCAATCCCACATTTACAGTGTTTGAAAGAAAGTTAAAAACAAGTGACACAGGGAAATACAGATATTCCACTCATTGTATAAACAACTAGCAAATGGCATGATTAGCAATCAAAGAAAATATTTTGCTTTATAAAAGAAGTCACTTTAAGATTATTTGGTCTGAAACAGCTCTTATTGGTATCAAGAGATGCTTCAAAACATTCTACTTGTTGAGACAGAGGTCCAGACAACCTATATGAGCCCTTGAAACTCTGACCTACAGAAAGGATGAACTGACCTACAATGTAACAACAGTATTAACTTTTTAATTATTTTCCCCAGTTAAAAATGCCATGGAATTCTCTCCAGCAATAGCGCAAATTAAGGCATTTCACCCAATTCAAAATGTGAAACATCTCAGAATTATGTAAATATTATGTTGCACAATAAGCCAAATCAAGTGGTAACTATTTTTCCCTAGACCAAAACCCTGTAGCCATCTTTGAATACACTTCTGTGGAGATAAAAACTTTCTTGTGCATAATCCCTCAAGATGGGCGGAAGAAAGTTAGTCAGAAAGTTTTCTTCAGATATATTTGTTTTGTATGGATATATTATTTAGTCCCCTCATTTGAAGCCCAAAGTGGTACCATCTAAGAAATACATTATCCCGACAGCTGGATAACATGGACTTAAACAAGGCTTAGGACAGTGGTTCTCAACCTGTGGGTCCCCAGGTGTTTTGGCCTACAATTCCTAGAAATCCCAGCCAGTTTACCAGCTGTTAGGATTTCTTGGAGTTGAAGACGAAAACATCTGGGGATCCACAGGTTGAGAACCATTGGCTTAGGATCTGAAACAATGTCTAGTCTTCATAAATTATTAAACAACTGTCCTTTTATTGAGGTAGCCCTGTTTTAGGTCAGTAAGCTTTTTCCAGAAATAAGAGGCTGAGGACAAAAGCTTCACTTTTTGATTGCATCCCTAAATTTGATTCCCAAGATATTGATTGGGGAAAGGAAAAGTTGCTGCAGATTGCACAGACAGTGGAAGACAATAGCCAATTCATCAGTTTTCCTCATAAACATAAGGGAACAAAGGTCTACAGAAGCTGCAAATTCTAAGGTTACCTGACCTGCCAGAGATTGAATTTATCACCCCCTGCCTCCCCAATGTTCTCTCACTCACATCTGTAGTGTAGAGAAAACATAAAAAGGAAAGTTAGTACTATCCACAAGATTCATGAATACAAATATAGTGTATATACCATTGAAGAATGCATGGCAAAGGAGATTAAAAAGATCCAGGAGCAGTTATATGCAAATAAAGTCAACACAAGTCTGCTAGCGTATTCTGTGAGAGTCGAAAGGCTTGTAACAGTTTTAATTCATTGTGTTTGTGGATTATTAGTTTCCCCAAAGTAAGGAAAACCCAGAACAGGAACACTTTTTGATCCCAAAGGTGGTCAGAAAAAGGCTAACAGCTCACAAGTCAAACAGTATGATGGAATACTCAAATATCTTTAACATACACGGTGAAGGGGTTGCCGCCACATTACAATACGAAGAAAATTTAACAGAGACAAATACACAGGCTTGCAAGTCAATGCCAGTAAACAGCTTAAACTAGATAAGGCCACAATGAATCCTGCCCTTGGTCACTGAAAAAAGAAATGAGGCAAGGCAGTAATGAGCTAGTATTAAGAACTAGCAGCTTGCAACTATGGTGTTGGGAACATATTAAACTGTATGAAAAGACAGCAGAAATGAAGGCCTATTGTGAGAAATCAAAACACGTGTTAAGACAGTGGCACTGGTTTAACCAAATATTTTTAACTACACGTTTTAGCTGCTGCAATCTTCCTTAGCTATACAGTCTGCAAAGGGAAAACACCCAATCTACTAAAAAGACACTGAACAATAGTTCTGATGATTTAAAACTAAACACTTTGTGAAAGCACTGAGGTTTCTCATCTGTGTAACCCAGTGTTTCATTCATATCAGCCAACTGCAGAGTGTCTTATTTAAGAGGCAGCAAAGAGATACCCAAAATTCCAATTGCTTCTTTAGAAAAGAAGAAGCAGGATTTTGTATCAGGACTGTGCCCTACCAAATTAATATTGTTCTGTCCTTGGAAACAAAATGGAAATGTATTGTTTCAAACTGCAAAAAGGAGGGTGGGAAGTGAGGTTTAAGACGAGTTCCAAAGATAAGTACCAACGACGGCCGCCTAGTGCAACTCAAGGCCCAAATTAGCCACTTTTTTTTCTTCTGTGAATGAAGTCTGGCAATTAACAAGATCAAGGTGGAATGACAGCTTTGTCAGTATGTTCCATTCAGGTGCAATTGAATTATGCAATGCATCACTGGCATGATAGTGGCAGGGGAACCTAACAGCTAACACATACTCTTGAGCTTTTCTTAAACTCCATAGCACCATGGACAATTACTCCTGAAAGGTAAGAAAGCCTCCAAAATGATATCTGATACAGCACTAAGGCTGGAAAGAAAAACTAGTTAACTATCTGTAAGGGGCTTGAAAAATCCTGCTTATGTTGAACACATTCACAGATGGTCCTACAAAGCTTTCCACAAGGAACTTTAAAAATGACCAGAGATAAGAAGAACGTAGAGGTGTAAACTGACCCTTATTTAGCTTGCAATTTGAACTTTGCCGTTCTGAAAACTGCACTAGACAGTTGGCAGGGAAGAGAAAAAGTGGAAATAGTTTGCAGTGCTTTTGCAATTAACCATTACTAAGTACTATCATTTCACTGTACAATCACTTCACACTCAGAAAAGGGAACGAGAGAAGATCACACCAAGCTTTGTAAGTGGGCCTAAAGACTGAGCATCACTATGGTAGTTTATGATGGCTCCCAATTCACAAGGAAGACGCACCAATCACACCCTGGCTGTGGCCAACCCTTCCAGAAGAATGTCATATGCTGAGACAGAAAACAAAACATGCTGCCAAATGAAGTTATTGGAAACAGACCACTTGGAGAGAAAAAAAAAATCACACACGTATTTAACTTACACTTGATAGCAAATTATGTACAATATTAGCAAAACCAAATAAAAATAAAAAAGCCAACCTGAAGAAATCCTGAAAATATGTTCAGATGTATATGTATTGAGTATGAAAAGAAGGGAAGAACCCCTCGAAACACCAACATATCCCAGTAGACTGAGCAGTTTGGGTAACCGCACAAGAGGCCACATTTGTAATGCTAAAAACCTCGTGACTCAACACTATAAATACTTTCAAAAGAAACAAACACATAGAAAGAACTATCCACAATGACAGGAAGGGAGCTCGAAAGGTAACACACATTGCATGTATTGCAGGCAAGGCAGAGGCATTTTTAAAGCTTTTGCACAAACTTCATATACTCTTAAAAAAAATATGCTGGCCTTTACAAGGTTCTACTTGCTGAAAATAAAAACAAAAAAAAATTCGTTCATAAAAAGTCACAAGACTTCGGTTTAAAAAAATGCAACAGTTCCAGCCCCAGACCAAAAATATATATATTTATATTTATATATATTAGAAACTGGAAGAGTATGGTAATTAGATTATACAAGCATGGTGAGGCTTGGAACCTGAATATACTTCAGAGCAAATGCTCAGAGGAAAAAAAATAAAATATAAACTATTTGGTAACAAAAGCATACTATATGTTGTGATACAAAAAGGCATGGTGAAAATGTACCTTTTATACTAAAGTGTTCCTTGGTCCATAAAAACTAAGTTACGTCCATGTTTCATGTTTTCTAGTTCAACTTTTTATCCCAGCCACTTTTGCTTCTTTTTTATTATTATTTTCGTGCCCATTTTGAAAGAGACAACTAAAAATAGATTCTGAATAAAGGATCATATCTCCTCCTGCATGTTTTTTTTTTATTGTGGCTTCTACTAAGATCAGCACTTGTAGGTGATAAATGTTCAAAGAGGTTTTTTCCCACGAAACCACAAAAATTGTTCAGTTTTGTCGTTTGAAGCACTTGAGCGTCAGTTTTTAAGAAGTTCCACACAAAGAGCAGTGGTTAGGAAACTACTGTCGCCGTTGATGATGTGACATTGGTTGGGTTTGTGCTGACGTTTGTGTAACTTCCCTCGTTGTTTGTGTTTGCGTCGCTGGAGGCCAGGAGGCTTGAGTTGGCTCTGAGGATGGCCCCAGCTGCACTGCAGTGGGGTCGGGGCCCTGGCTCTGGCGTGTAGGTAAAGGTAAGGCTGGTAGAGTAGATGATGCCATCGCTGCGGACCAGCGTGACTGGGACTTGGACCGGCTGACGGACCCACCTCCAGCCTTCCCGGAACGCAGAAATGTCAGGAACGACACACAGCATGCTCTCCGCACATCTGGGGAAGAAACAAGAGGAATGCATTAATTTCCTTTCCCCCATTAATTTTTTGAATTAATATTTTTGACAACAAAAACAAACTTAAAAAGAAAACAATACATAAACATAGGCATATTTAGATAACAATTACTGCATATACTTGAATTTAAGCTGGGTTTTTCAGCCCTTTTTTAGGCTGAAAAAGCCCCCCATAGATTATACTCGAGTCAAAGGTTTGTTATTTTACTCTGTTATTATTATTTTTGTTACATTTATTATTTTACTTTATTTATTATTGTTCTTATTAAATTTCTTGTTTTACTCTATTGTTATTATTACATTTACATTATCTTATTTTATTATTACTATTACATGTATTATTTTACTCTCTTTATTATTATTGGAAGGATATGTAAACATATTTACACTGAAGAACGTTAGAATAATGGTTTAATCACAGTTGGACAGTCTAACCTTAAATTACAGTTTTATGCAAATATTCAAAAACATTTAACCTACTGATGCCACAATTAATATAATTTTATTAGTATTTATTTTTATTTTGAAATTGATCAGTAGCTGCTGCATTTCCCACCTTCGGCTTATACTCGAGTCAATACGTTTTCTTAGGTGAAAAGGGGTCACAAGTGGATAATTTTTAAGAAGCCCCAATCTAGAAGAAACAGGCCACATATATTTGCTGCTATAAGCAAAAAAAGCTGGATTTTAGGAAATACTAGGAGGACAACAAAACTCCAGGAAGCCTAAATCTTTCTCCAATAACACATATCTGAGGGATATTTTTAATTAGTAGGATAAATACAAAGGACGCAATTGTTTATTTTTGACTATTTCAGTTTCTGTTAGAAACTACAATGGGGAATGGAAAACATTTTAAAGATGAATCCCTAAACAATAATTTCCCTCCCAAAATCGCCTACATGTTAGCTTTGAATTATACAATTTTGTAAAATGTGATTATTCAGAGTTAAATGATTAGATAGCTAAAACTTATACTGAATACAAACTACAATATGTTCAAGTTCCAAAGATAACACCATACCTGTACATTGTTTCAGCTTCCACATCCCCAAACCAGACACGTAAATTTGGAGTGAAGTTCTGCCCAGTAAGTTCCAGCATTGCTACATCCCCACCACCATTTAACTATTGGATATAACAAAAAGAAAATGTAAATATTTCATTTGGAAAATATGGAATCCAGACCTATACAATACAAGAAGACACATTAATTCATATTTATATGCAGAGGTTGACCAAAGCAGCATGAATGGGAACTGCAAATCTGTGCTGACGTTGCTGGACTGTAACTCCCATCAGACCAAGCCTTAATGGTGGTAAATGCTAGAACTTGCTGTTCAACTAAAGGGCCAAATGATTATTACTCTTGGAGAGCAGCTTCTTTTAAATAAATATGCTTCAAGGAATCGTTTCTAAGGACATACAAAGAAATGTGTTAGTTTATCTCTCCGCAGCTGTGTCAATACACACACTGTATTGATTCAAATGGCCAAATAAACCTCATTCTTGTCAAGTAGAACAGTGACTTCACACTTTTTTTCATATTTATTTATTACGACACTAATATGCTGTCCTTCTCACCCCGAAGGGGACTCAGAGCGGCTTATAAATCTATTTGCAAACTCTTTGAACAACTTTGAGTTTCCTTATGGAGAGAAAACGCGGGGCATAAATAAACATCATAATAATAATAATAATAATAATAATAATAATAATAATGACAAACTCATACACTGAAGCACCAATGGATTGCTCCAGTGCTAAACTGCTATTACAATAAAAAAGCTAGACTCCTCCTAGACTTACAGACTTCCACATTCTGAAAACCGTTCCAATTTTAAGATTTACTTCAGCTTGCCATGCCATCCATACTGATAAAACAAAGGTTAATATTAACTTCAAAAGCATGGATTTTGAAGTAGTTAATTTCAGAACAAGCCATAGTTTTCCCAAGCTTAAAAGCTAAAGTGATGTGTTTCAGTGGTTACACTAGAAAGAATACAGCCTCCTTCTTTGGGCTAAAATGAAGGAGGGGAATGCACCACCCCAGCATTCACGATGAGTTGTTCTTGTAATGCTAAACTGTGGTTGTAATGTTAAACTAGCATATAAGATACAGAGCATTCAACAGAGGGTTGAATCAAATTGCTAGTCTGAGGAGGACTCAATACTGACCCTGGAAGCGCAGGTGAAGGCAGTAGCCGGGAGGGCCTTCACATAGTTAAAGCTTGCGTGCCAGCTGTGCCCATACCTTGAAAAGCCCGATCTGGCCATGGTAATACATGCCTTAGTCATATCCTGATTAGTTTACTGTAACACACACTGTGTGGGGCTACCCCAGAAGAGCATTTGGAAACTTTAACTGGTACAAAGCTCAATGGCTAGACTGCTCACAGAAGCAGGATATAGGGAAAGAACTACTTTGCTCTTGAAGCAGCTACTCTGGCTTCCAGTTTGTTTCTGGGCACAATTCACAGTGCTGGCTTTAGCCTATAAAGCCTTGAACTGTTCAGGCCCAGCCTACTTGAGGGACCACATCTCCTCCTATCAGCCCACATGAGCCCCAAGATCAACAGGAGAGGCCCGTCTCTTGACTCCACCACCATCACAAGCCTTCTCAGTGGTGGTCCAGCGGCTCTGGAACCCGCTTACCAAAGAGGTGTGTTTGGCCCTCTCTTTACTGGCCTTTCATTCTCAGGTTAAAACCTTACTGTGGAAGTAGGCCTTTCCTGATAACCCATAATAAGCACTGACTAGGCAGCTATTGGTATTGCTAAGACACATCATTGAAGGCTATTGTAGGCTGGCAATGTTTATACAGCCAAAGATGCGGAGCATCAAGGATTCTTAGTATAATATTTTAAGGACAACCTGAGTGGCCTGATGCTCAAGGACTTTTAATGGCAAATGTCGTTATTTATTAAGCTTCTTTGTATATGGTTTATGTAATCTGTTTTTGTTTATTTGTTTTGTTTCGGGTGATGATGATGTGCTCTTGTATCATACAATTTCTGTTGTTTTAACCATTTGTTCGCCGCTTTGAGTCCCACCCATGGGAGAAAAGCGAGATAAAAGTAAATAAATATAATAATAGTAATAACAACTACAATAGTAATACCAACTAGACTTTCTGAATCAATGGGAATTCAGACAGGTCTTGAGTTACCATTCAGCAGTGGTTGTAATGTTTCTTCTCCCAATTTGTTTTATGATTTAAGTCCCAGAATGGGCAAATAGGAGAAACTGAGCCACACTTGCTTCCCACTTGATTTTTGAGGGATGCACCTGCGAAGCCGCGTCCCCACCGCTCGTTACTACAATTCGAAGCCGTTCACTTGCTGCCACCAAAATATGTGAAGTAGTCTCCAAAAATAAAATAATGGCGTGAAATCCCAACTAAATAGGATCACCACACAAATGTAATGAGAATTTGAGACTTCTAGGTTAAGCTGCCACCCTAATATAAAGAGATATTGGTAATATAATCTCTGTTTCTTCTTATCTGGGTTGTGAGGCCACTTTGGTAGTGTGGATTGTGCAAAACGTTGAAATCAATGGATGAGGCAGGTTTTAAAACACAAAGAGAACAGATTTATTGTCGGAGCGTAACTGTTGCAATATTAACTGTTGAACTTGGCACAAGCTTGATGGTTACAAATATGGCTTAGTTGAGATACATTCAGGTGATGTTACAATTCTTTGACTTCTTCTACAATGAGGTGCTTTAATATTTCAGTTCCCTATTGTGAATATTTACAACTGTTTGTCCTACACAGGATCAAACTAGCGATCTCCAGCCATTCACCACTGGGATCCCTAAACCTCTTTCTTGTTAGATTCCTTCTTTACTCAAGCAATCTAACGAGGTTTCACCTCCAGCTTCCTAACTGGAATAATATTCACAAATCCTAAGAACTGGCTGAATTTACACTACACCACAGAGCCTCAACTGACTCTGCCCCTCAGGGTTTCATTCCCCTGACTGAACTATTATCCCAGAGTCCCCTTTGACTCTGTCCTTCAGGGTCTCATCCGCCTGACTGATTTTAAACTGTCGTTTTCAAACCTTTCCTACTTAAGCTCCGCCCACCTCCTCTGGCCTGTCACCATGGCAACCTATCTCTCTCAGCTAGGTCATGGCTACAATGTAAAGCATAAACACAGTTTAAAACACAGTTATAATAGACACTTCTCTACACCTTCCCCCCCAGAAAAAGTATTTTTGCACCATTCTGTCCTAGAATTGGCAAAAATAACTTCACATATTACTTAACAATAAATATATATACATAACATTCCTGAAAGGGAAACACATTATGGTTAATTACACTTTAATTACACATATATACAAACCTTTAAC